GTGTGTGTGTGTGTGTGTGTGTGTGTGTGTGTGTGTGTGTGTGTGTGAATTCACTGTGCTCCTGCACAGGTCCTGCTCCTCTGTCCAGGGTCTTCCCTGGTCTCACCAGTCTTCCCCCTCCCCCCAGAGCTATGGTTCTCCTAGCTCCACTCTGCTCCACATTCTGCTTTCTCTACAGTCTGAGCAAAACCCACCCTGCAGCCTGTGGAGGTTCGTTTGCTCCTGGCGCCTTTACTCTTGGAGTCTTCTGAGGCGGCTCCTGCCCATCCTCCCCTCCATTTTAAGAACCAGGGAACTAAGAGGAAGTGTCACTGTTATCACTTCCTGGTACCCTGTTAGCTGGGGAGCAGCCTGGCAAAGAGGACGGTGGGAGTCAGGCTGGGGCGTGCACGTGAGATGGGCTTCACAGGAAACACTTCAGGGGCCGAGATGTCCGGGCAGAGGAGAAGGACCATGGAGAAAGGGAAGGAGGACACTGCGGCCTCTGGCAGAGCCACATGTACTGCGTGCAGAAGCAGGGAACAGGAACTGGCAGCTCAGCAGTTAGGAGCACAGAGTGGGCTCAGCAGTTAGGAGCTTGGAGTGTGCTCGCAGAGGGCCTGAGCTCATTTCCCAGCACCCAGCTGCATGGGGTCTGATGTCCTGTTCTAGACTAATGTGTGCGTGCACACACACACACACACACACACACACACACCCTACACTCACATAATTTTTAAAACAAAAGGTCAAGGAAAACTAGTTTTAGGCAGAGAAAGGGTTGCTGTTGTTTTTAATCTTGCGCGTGTGGTGTATGTGCATGTCTGTGCACTGGCCGTGTGAGGGGCGTGCATGCGTGCGCCTGGGTGTGAGGCCACATACTTGTGCTGGGATCTTCATTGTCCACATGATCTTTTGAGGCTTCCACTTCCTCAGAGCTCTCCACCTGGCCAGACGGCCTGGCCAGTGAGCTCAGGGTTCTGCCCGCCTGTGTCCTGAGCATTAGGCTCACAGGTGCGAGCGTCTGTGTGCGGCTTTCCTGGGGTTCTGACTCAGGCCTCACTCCCAGGTGGTCTGCCCCGCATACAGGCGGCCTCAGAACCAGCCTCCCATTAGCTCACTGTCGAGCACTTCCCAAGCACCTGTCCTCGGCTCGCTTGGGACGTCACCCTGTGCACAGTCCGGAACTGACAGCCAGTTTTTCTGTTGGAGGCTTTACCCTGGCTGGTGTCTCCCCACCTGTCTGCTTATGTTGGTAGATGGATTTTTGGATTTTTTTTTTTTTTTTTGGAGGGCGCCTGTTCCATTATCCAGAAAGGCTCCTCTTAACACCTGGACATGGTGGCTCCTTCCAGCAGCCCCAGCACTGAGGCAGGAGGATTGAGTGAAAGACCAGCCTTGGCTACATAATGAGCTAAAGGCCAGCCTGGGCTTCAGGGTGAGAGCCTGTCTCAAAACATCAAGAATGACTAAATTGGCTAAATGTCATCCAATTTGGACAAAGCCGGGGCCTAATCCCAACCTGGTAAAGCCTCTCATAGATTAGTGAGTCCTGCTGTCTGTTGATGGGATGAAAAGATGGAATTTGGGGTGATCACAAGGCTCAGTGGGTAAGGTTCTTGTCAAGCGAGTGTGAGGACTGAGCAGAAAGACGGAGGGCGTAAGTCCCTGTGGAGGCCACAGCTTGCAGCATTGTCCCATGGAAGGTGGTTTTCTTTGCTGTTCTGAGGGAGAAGCCATTTCCTCAATGAATCGAGTGGAGCCTCCCCCTCGGAGGGAGGTGGCGCAGTAGCACCTTGCCCCAGGAATTCTGGCTGACTCTGCAGATGCTCCGAGAGCAGGCGAGACCTCAGGGAGTCCATTTGCTCTGAACCAGATGCAGACTGGGTAAGTACACAGGGAAGGCGCAGCCCAGCCCTCCCACCCACGACTCTCTCAGGCACACTGCTCAGTTGCCATGGCAGCAGGGACCCCAGCTACATTCTGTGGGGAACCCTAACTGAAGATTTTGAAGGAGGGTTGGCAGGACTCGGCTCTGCAGGATTCCTGACCCCACCAGATATAAGGAAGGCCAGGGAAACCATTCCTTATCCAAATTGTGAAACCATGGCCCCGTTCTCACAGAACAAAGATGGCCTTCAGCGTGTTTCCCCTTCCCTGAAGAGCTTAGGTGAATGGAATGGTGGTTGTGTGGCTCAGGGTTAGTGTTGTGGCCTCAGGTACTTAGACTCAGAAGTTGTGAGGCCTGACAGGGAACTCTCAGACAGGGAGTTAGGGAAACTGTGGGCTGGGTTGATGGTGCAGACAGCACAACACCTGCCCTGTGAACAGGACGACCCGAGTGCGAATCCCCAGGAGCCGTGGAAAAGGGAGGAAGATTCCTGGGACTTACTAGACAGGCAGTCTAGCCAGTCAGTGAGCTCCTCTTGCCCCAAATGATGGAGAGTGACTGAGGACGATATCCAACACCCACCACCGCCTCACACACACCCACGAGCATGCACACACACACGCCACACACAGCACAGCCATGCACACACACAGGCCACACACATACACAGAACAGCAGCCTTGGTGTAACGCTGTGCAGACTTTGGATTTTACGTCTGTCTCCCGAGTCGTATTTACTTGTCCTGGTTCCTGAGTCCCTGAGTCCATCAATGGCGAGGCTCGTTCTTTCTCTGTCTTAACGGCCTGGACGTGTTTGCACATGTCTGACTAGTTACTTGTATGCTGCCCCTCAGTCTGGGTTAACTGATGAACCCTCGGCAGAACAAGGTAGGTCACCTGGGAAAGGCCCTACCTCAGGACAGCCTCTCGGGACTTCGTGGCTTCCCTGTGTGCAGAGGAACACCACCTCAGCACGCTTGGCACAATGCGGGTGGCCGGACTCCACAGTGTGGACCTGCCATTTCCCCTGCACCTACCAAACACTGCTGAGAGAGGCCCGTCTCCCGTTGGCCACCGCCTCCGGCTGAGGCCATTGTCACACACTGGCCTGCTTCTGGCCTCTGCCGTCTCCGTTTCTTTCATAGTTTTCACTGGAATCCTTGTCAGCTCTTTCTGGTGTACTCAGATATAAGTGTGGCTCAGTGTGGACTCACGGGCGTGCGTCTGTTCTTCCATCTGTAGTCTGTCTCCCACCTGTCTTGGATGCTCACATTGCTTCAGCTCTGGCCTTTGGTGACACCTTCTGGTGGTCCCAGTGCCCTTTTGATGCCTGCATCTTTCCTTCTTACGTCACGTCTTCTGGTACCCAGGCCGTCCATGCCCCCCTCTGCCTCCTAATGCGAGGGTGGATAGAAGCTGTGACCCGAGCAGCGCATGTCCGTGAGGAAGGTGCTGTCCCAGCACGCTCTAGCTCAGGGCGGCATGGCAAGCTGCTCAGGGTCTCATTGCCAGCGAGGGCCGGGCCTGGCTAGGCCGTGTGGGTCCAGGCTTTGCATGTCTAGCCCGTCATGGATCTGCCCTCTCAGCTGAAGACACGGCTCCCAGCTTTGCTGCTTCTGGAATCTGTCATGTGTCTCCCTTAACAGAGGTGTTGACACTTGTGCCTTGCTAGACAGTATCCGTGTGCCAGGGCAGCTCTAACAGATGCCACACGAGCAGGCTTAAACATCAGAATTCTTTCAGAAGCCAAGGTCAGGATGTAGGCAAGGATGGTTTACAGCAAGAGCCCCAAGGAAGGGCCTGGAGCAGGCCTTTCACTGCCTCTCTGCAGCGTCTGCCCGCACAGCTGTCTCTGAAGCTCAGTATCTGCTTCTCGAGCCTGCCTGACTCACCAGCTCGGAGTCCATGCAGTTAGTTAGTTAGGTTAATGCAGCTGCCGCCGAGCACATCTTCTCTCCAGTGCGGCGGCCTCGTGGCGCCGGAGCCAGCGGGCTGCCGTGTGAGCGCAGAAGGGCGCGCAGTTCAGCTCAGGCCGAGGCACCTGTCCTGTTCATCACACGGCTCACTAGCCGGCCATGCTGAAGAGCAGGTGTCAGCGCCGACCTGTGAGCTAGCGGGGCAAGCCTCGTGGCCCAGGAGCAGATGTCCAGGCAGCAGTCTGGGGCGGGGAGGCGGACAGGGGCTGGGGTAATGATCTGAGCTGGGGGCCCAGCCTTCCCGGGGAGGGTCTGGAGCTAATGGAGCACTGCGTTCTCATTGCAGGTGATAAATCTTCCTAATAGCATTTCAAACTCGGTGCTCTGCATTTAAATATTTTAATATTAATTTATTCTAATGCTACCTCAAGTGGATAGTAACACCGCCATCCACTGAATTAAAAAGAGAAAAGAGAAATCCTAGGCGATCCTCATGAACTCTCTGCTCCAGGAGGGAATCCAGGCAGGAGTGAAAGCCACCCCATCCGTGTCTTGGAACCGTCAGGGCCAGGAATGTGGCCACAGTGGCCAGCTGCCAGCACCACGTGCCAGCCTTCGGTATTTGCCAGTGTGCGGCTCCCAGGCCACGGAAGCCTTTCTGTGCATGCTCTGGATAAAGGTGGAGGTTCTTCTGAAGATCCCTTCTGTAAAATGAAAAAGAAAGCGCGCTGTGTGGCCAGGCACGGTGCACACCTATAATCCAAGTAGGCAGGAGACATAGATGGGATCGCCACACACATTCAAGGCCAGCTCGGTGTACCGAGGCACAAGGTTTCCGTGAAACCCTCTCTCCCTCTGTCTCTGTCTCTCTTGCAGAAAGGTTGTGTTTTATTTATAATACGAGCATACATATAGTAGTAAACAGAAACAAGGGAGCAGAAGTAACAATCTGTGTCCAGTAGAGGGCACTGGAGGGCCACTGCCAGGGATTCCTTAGCATCTCCAAGTGTGGCTCTGCGGCTTTGCAGTGTCGCCCTGGCAGCGGCCTTTCTGCAGCTGTCCCGTGAAGACCATAGCCACCAACAGCCTTGCCCAGCGGTGGGACCCCACTGCTCCTGTCCCCAGCCACACAGCTCCTCAGCTGGCACCCTTGAAAGCGGTTGTGATACGTCCTGCAGCTCCCGATGACCCCACAGAAAATCTCTCTGTGTAGCGGCTGAGCCACTTCCTAACAGTGCTCGCTGCCAGCATGAGGGGGCCATGCGGGATCTTCTTCCTTATCTCATAGCTAATAGGTCATGGAATTAAATGTCCAAAGGAAACAACTGGAGCCAGAGAGGTACAAATGCCCCTAGCTGGGCCAAATCCCACTGTCCTGGTGGGTAATCAGCATGCTGACACAGAGCTTTCTGTTTGCATTCTGAGAGTGGCTTAGATGGAGTTCTGTGCAGTGGAATAGCAAGCCTGATTATACGGTTATGACAGAGACTGGAAGGCACCAGAGCCAGCCAGCAGCTGCCTTAGTTGGCTCTGTTGCCGTGATGAAGACCTGACCACAAGGCAGCTGTCCGTACGGGGTTTAATCGGCCTACGGGTTGTGTATAGTTAGTCTATCAGCCTCGGAAGCTGAGGCGGGAACCAGGGCCGGGGAGAAATGTTGCTTATCCGGCTTGCTTCCCCATAGCTTGTTCGGTCTGCTCTCTTACACGGCCCAGGACCAGCATGTCAGAAGTGGCACGGCCCGCAGAAGCTGGTTCACCCCACATCAAGCACTAAGGGCCTTCCCCACAGGCTTGCCTGTGGCCCAGAGGGAAGGAGGTATCTTCCCAATTGAGGCTCCTCCTTCTGCTGAGATAACTCTGGCTTATGTCAGGTTGGAAACAAAACAAAGGCTAATCAGGGCTGGGGGGGGGCACATAAAGGCAAGAGGATCACAAGTCTGAGACTTATCACAGTGTGATTCTATCAAAAACACAACAACAACAATAGCAAAACCATTAGGAATGTATCCAGAATGAAAACAACAACTTTGTGAAGAAGAGCTAAGAGCCAACATGGGGGGGGGGGGGGGGGGGTGTCTGCCCGGCTGTGGGGCTGTGCTTGGCATGAGGGGGTGCCTGGATGATGAAGAATAAAGGTGGCAGGGTTCAGAGAGGACAGCAGCTGAAGAACAGGGGCCCATGTGGGATTGTGGCACAGCTGGCACCCTGCCTTAGAGAAGGGAGAAATGTGTGGACAGGGTCAGAACCAGGAGGCACACAGAAGTCACTTGCAATTTTTGCCACATTTTCCATTTTTGTTGAAGTGGGCATTTCCATAATAAGTGGAGAAGTGGAAAGACATCTTTATTCAGGTCACGCTGTCCTGTCACCTAGCCTGAACCTGGGGCATTTTGCTAATATAACAGGGTCAAGATTTAAAGTGATTCCTTCAGATGTAAACTGAAAACTTGAAGCTGTGTTCAAAACACAGAAAAGACGTCCAGAGATTGTTTCTGGCCTGTCAGCTGTCCCCAGCTTTGTCTGACTATCAGTCACAAAATTAGAGAAGTTGACAAAACAAATGGACAACAGTCTAAAATTTGCAAGCTGAGGTGTTCCATGGGAACACGGAAGCTGTGGGGATGGAGGCTTCTGCCATGTCGTCTGCCCTGCTGACAAGCGAGCTCCAGAGCAGACAGCAGACAGCTCAGCCGGCGGGAGGTCGGAGAAACAGGGCGCCCAGAGGCAGCCCCTCCGCTGGGCTTTCTCTGCTCGGCTGCTGGTTCAGCTTTTGGGTGAGGCTGGGAAGCATGCCTGTGGTCCCGATGTCAGCTGAGTGAGATGCTCCCTGAGGGTGTGCATGGCACGGACTTGCGTCGGCGGTTGACACAGTGTGTCCTGCAGGGGGCAGCTGAAACCGTGTGTTGTGACACACCTTCAGGGCCGCTTCCCTGGCTAGCTTTCTGTCTCACCCACTGCTGCTGTTGACTTAACGTACGCCAACGGTGCACCTGTGTGTGGGTTTTGTGCGTATGGAGGATAGAGGACAGTCTTCCAGCATTCCTCAAAAGCCATTCTGTTCTATTTTATCTTATTTTATTTCTGGCATGGGCAGTGAGTGCTGGGAGGTCAGAAGAGGGTGTCGGATCCCCAGAGCTGGAGTTCCAGGTGGCTGGAGGTGAGTCACTGGAAATGGAAGGGGACGCTAGGAACTGAACTCTGGTCTTCGCAGGAGCAGCTAGTACTCTTAACTGCTGAGCCACCTCTCCAGGGCTCCACTACTTTTTTTGAGACGAGATCTCTTGCTGACAAGGAACTGTCCAGGGAGGCCGTGAGCCCTGGGCATTTGCAGTCTCTGTTTCTCCCAGCACAGGGATTACAGCCATGTGTCACGATGCCCAATTTTCTTCATGGGTGTGAGGACCAAACTTATAGAGTGGCCAGGTGGTGGTGCACGCCTTTAATCCCCGCACTTAGGAGGCAGGGGCAGGTAGATTTCTCTGAGCCTGGTCTGCAGAGCAAGTTCCAGAACAGCCAGGGCTGCACAGGGAACCTCTTTCTTGGGGTGCAGGGAGGGGAGGAGGATGTCCTAGGAAATGAAGACAAAAGCCAAGGCAGACACACTGACACTGCGGACTAAGCTACCGCCCAGCCCCTGCTGGACACTTTATAGCCTAGGCTGTTAAGGTGGGAGCCGTGTCTGGGCTCTGGCTCTGGGCCCTCCCTCTGCTTACAGTGTGCACACTACCTGGAGTGCTTCCCCTCCGTCTTGGCTGTCGTCGGCCCGACGGTGTGCTGGCAAACACATAACCACAGGCTCTCCTAAGGGGAAAGCCCTGACTTTCACTCTGCTGGGAGGCAGTCGACGAATGCAGGGTTGGGAAGAAGCGAATACAGCCACCCTTCCTTGTCAGTCTGCGCGGCTTCTGGCTGTCCTTGGCTCCGTCTCTCCTTAAAGGCGCCTTCACCTCTGGCCGCTCATGCTAGCACATAGGCTGTGGAGCTCCGTAATGGCATCTCACTCATTGCTCTCCCTTGTGCTGTGCAGCCCTAACATCGGCCTCTCTGTTTCTCAGGCTGTGCCCCATGAAGACAGGACCACGTGATCTTCCTTTGTGATTTTTTGGTATCTAACTTATGTGTAGCCTGGCCTGGCACATAGCTGTCACCAACAGATGAGCACTGGATGAGAAGCTCTCCCTTGCCAAGATGATGTAAGTTTTATTCTCCAGTTCCATTCCATTGTCTCCTGTTCTCAGAAGTGAGCCTTCTCCAAGCACGCCCTCAGAATACGTCATCCCGACCTGTCACAGATGAAGCCCCTGCGGGGCTGAGCAAGCACCGGGTGGGGGAGGCGGCTGCAGAGCTGCTTTCTCTAGCTGGCTCGTGACAGCCGGAACGTCAGACAGCGGCGGAGGTCTGTCTACTGCAGCAATTGCTCGTCTTTGAGCCTCCTGTTTTCTTCTCCTAAAACCCTGTCATGGTCACTTTTGAACTAAATAATGACTGTGATTCAGTCAAAAAACAAACTCGGGCACCCACTGGTTGCTGCTTTCACGGACCTTCGTGTTAGGAAAGAAAACACGACAAAGAAGGACAGATGTCATAAACATGCCGAGAAGTGCTGTCATCCCACCACCAGTTTTTAAGGCTGTGTGTCTTTCCCGGAGGTGGGATGTGACAAGCTGGTTCTATGGAGGAGGAGTTTCCATTGCAAACTAGATGCCGCATCATTCTTTATAAAGCCTTGATTTCAATGGCTGGGCTGACAGAGCAAAGAAGGACAAATACTGTAACTGTCCTGATAATGATAAAAATGTTTACCGTGTTGGCTAATTTTCTGTCCACTTGACACGGGTTAGAGTCACTTGAGAGGGAGGAACCCCAGTTGAGAAATTACTCCATAAGATTGGGCTGTAGGCAGGCCTGGAGGGCATTTTCTTGATTGATGGGGGAGGGCCCAGCCCACTGTGGGTGGGGCCATCCCTGGGCTGGTGGTCCTGGGTTCTGTAAGAAAGCAGGCTGAAGGAAGCCATGGGAGCAAGCCAGTAAGAGCACCTTCCATGGCCTCTGCATCAGCTCCTGCCTGTGAGTTCCTGCCCTGTTTGAGTTCCTGTCCTCACTGCCTTTGATGAGCTATTATGTGGAATCGTGAGCGAAATAAACTCTTTCCTTCTCAACTTGCTTTTGGTCACAGTGTCTCCTCACAGCAAGCCCAGTCCCAGCTAAGACACTTACAGTCTTCTGTAAGCACACAGGGCAATTTCAAAAGATGAACTTTCTCTATTCTACCATGACTCTCAGTTTCGGAGCAGGAAAACAGGATTGTAACTTTCTGTCTCTAAAACATTTTTTAAATGATTAGGCAATACTAATTGGGGAAATATGCCTACGGTGTGTCAGCTGACGCGTGACAGCAGACAGCTTCTATTCCAGTGTTCACAAGTAAGAAAAAAGGCAGCTTAAAAAAAACATTAACAGCAAGCACTGTGACCCCCAGAGTGAGCCATTTACTGCGTTTCAGATCCGGGTCAGTGATTCGTGGCCACGAGTATGTGCATTTAGATCTGTGCAGGCAAGGTGCCTTGCAGCTTTCAGTGCCTTTGCGGCCACTGCGTCTGTGATGGAGGAGAGGGAAGCATGGAGGACCGGAGCAGCGTGTGTGAGGTGGAGAGAGGCTGAACCTCCTCAGATGTCTGAGGCCTGAGCCATTGCTGGAGGCCAAGTTCATGGGCATAGCTGTGCTTCTGCCTGGGGCCTTGCTGATGCCCCTGGTCCCTGCTACCCCAGGGGCTATGTCTGAGTCCATTGTCCTGCGGCCAGGGCTATGTCTGAGTCCACTGTCCTGCGGCCAGGGCTATGTCTGAGTCCACTGTCCTGCGGCCAGGGCTATGTCTGAGTCCACTGTCCTGCGGCTAGGGCTATGTCTGAGTCCACTGTCCTGAAGCCAGGGCTATGTCTGAGTCCACTGTCCTGTGGCCAGGGGCTATATCTGAGCCCACGGTCTTGTGTTCACCAGGGCCACGTTGATGACCTTGGAGGCCCAGTTGCCGCCTAGAGCCACGCGATGTCCGTGGTTTGTGTCGCCGTCTGAAGCCATGCTCCGTGTGTGGGCCATGCTACCACCTGGGACAGTGTTGGTGTCCAAGGCCCACGATGACAACCGAGGCCATGCTGAGGACCCTGGCGAATGCTAACGCCAAAGGCCACGTGCAGGCTCCTGGTCCTTGTTCCTGCGGACTGTGAAGGACAAGGGAGGCTCTTCTGCTGTGGCATCAGTGACTGCATTCTCACAGCTGGGAAAGAGAAGCATAGAAAGAAGGCTTCTTGAACTCCCACCCCCCCAGAGTAACAATCTAGACAGGAAGCCTGCAAAGAGAAGTCTTAAGACTTGTGATAAGGACGGTGAAGACTTCAGCTCTCTACGACAGATGGCTACTGGAGGGGGTGAGGAATGATCGCTGTTCTTCAAGGGGCTGACCGGCCCTGGGAGTTTCTTCATGCTCCATGACTATGTGGGCACCACAGTCGGACCTGGTGCTTGTTTGTTTGTTTGTTTGTTTGTTTGTTTTGGGGGGCCACAAGGGTGGGAGGACTGGGATGGTTAGGGTGCCTTATGTGAACTTCCCAAGTAATCAATAAATATATTATGCTGAACATTTATTTTCTATTAAAAAGTTCATCTTAAGCCACGTGTGGAGGCACATGCCTATAAGCCCAGGACTCAGGAGGCAGAAGCAGGGAGATTTCTGTGGGTTCGAAGCCAGCATGGTCTACAAGCCAGGATAGCCAAGGCTACACAGAGAAACCATGTATTAAAAAAAAAAAAAAAAAGCATGTGTGTGCCCTGTTTTGTTAGCATTGCCACAGGTTCTTATGTAAACAGGTTAACTTCGTAAGGGGAGCTTAGAGATTTTGATTTTCAACAGATCTGAAGATAAGGGACAACTAACCATTAAGAAAAAAGGAGATCTTAGCAAACGGAACTGCAGACAGATACAAAGCTGGCAGGTTCTGAGGAGCAGAAGCGTCATCTTGGCTGGAATACAAGGGTCGAGAGGGACGCGGGGCAGAGCCCTCCACACCTCCACACCCACACATCTCAGGAGGATCTGTGCCTCAGCCCCAGACAGCAGGTCGGCTTGCTCGCTCTCCTCCAGGGTGACCACCTGTCTGCTGGCTTGTTGGGATTTCTGCATTCTTTAAAGTTTCTCTCCTTCTTCCTCTTTAGTTTCCTATGTCTCCTGTCCTAAACAGTCTTCACATTAAACTTTTCTGCTCAAACTATGATGCAGCTTTATTCTTGTGTTCAGGCTGATGCAACACTCAAGGTGGAAAAGGGTGTGCATGATGTGTGTTGTATATAATATGTACTAAAATGTGCACTGGAGTGTTCACAGAGGCTTCGCCCATAACCGCTGTCTCCATCACTTTTCAGCTGCTCTGACATCACAACCAACAAGAGCAATTCAGGGAGAAACAGTGTTTCCTCACTCAGTTCCAGGCTATCACGGCAGCTGCCCACATTCCCTCCCCTCCCCCCGTGGTCAGCTGTTCTGGTTACTTTTATGTCGCTTGACACAAGCAGCAGTCCTCAGAGCAGAGAGACTCAATTGAGAAAATGTTTACATAAGATCAGGCTGTAGGCAAGCCTGTAGGGCATTTTCTTAATTAGTGATTTGTAGTAGTAAATTAAATGGTCTTGGGCTTATAGTGTTTATTATTATTAGCCCTGTAATTATTGTAGTGGTACCATCTAACCCACTCTCTCAATCAAATAAAACACAGACACCTGTTAGATTGTATAATTGCCTGTAAACACCATGGGCTGGGGAGATAATTCCATCTGTGCTGTCTCACCAACCTCACCATCCACCCCCCAGACCCCATCCAATGGCATCCCCTTAACCATTCCTATCTGGGCTACCTTCCATCCATAATCATCTAAATTCTTGCTTGTATTCTTCACCTGGACCTTTTCATGCCATTACTGGAGTCCTTCCTCCCGGCCCACAAGGTTCCATCTTGGCATCCTTTCTCCTCCTCTCCTCCCATTTGTCTGTGTTTCTTGTGATTCTCTTCTTCCCAAAGCTGGGGAACTTTAGCCATGCCTACCCCATTCTGCCCTGCCCAGGTTTTAGGCCTTTAATCAACCAATCAGGAAAAATGTCTTAGGCAGGTTCACAAAACAAGGATAGGTGTATCAGGGCAGTGACCAAATCTCAAGGGCCAGCAATTAGCATCAAAATACAAGCATCAGATGAACCCCCAACAGTGACTGATGGGGGCGGGCTCAGCCCACTGTGGGTGGGGCCACCCCTGGGCTGGTGGTCCTGGGTTCTAAGAAAGCAGGCTGAGCAAGCCATGGGGAGCGAGCCAGTAAGCAGCAGCCCTCCATGGCCTCTGCATCAGCTCCTGCCTGTCTGAGTTTCTGTCCTGACTTCCTGAACGGTGATGTGGAAACGGAGAGCAAACGAGCCCTTTCCTGTTTAAATTCTTTGGTTATGGTGTTTTATGGCAGCAACCCTAAAACAGTCAGGAAGCAGAGAAAGATGGATCCTGGTGCTTAGCTCACTCTCGTTTTTTACTTAGCAGGGGTCCCCAACCATGAAACGGCATGCCCACATTTTAAGAAGGGTCTCTTCATCACAGTTAACCTAGTATCAAAAGTCCTCACAGGCTGGCCTAAAGGTTGTCTCCTGTGTAATTCTAGGCCCTTCAAGTGGGTAAGCAAGATTAAGTATCATAGTGACCAAAACTGGAGACCGCCCGGAGGGCCAACGGAATACTATTCAGCAACTAAAAAGAGAGGGCTGCTTAGGTGAACCTCACAGATGCTGTTGAAAGAAAGCAGATGCAAGAAAGGGACCCTGCAGAAGCTCACTGTGTGAAGAACACAGACAAGTTGATGGAAGTCAGAGGATGACATGTGCGGCACAGACATGCTAAGAAAGAGCACAGACGTGTTCAGGGGATATCTGACACGTTATGTTTTGAGCAAGGGCAAACACACAGACATATGTGCGTGTAGATGGAGATGGCTTAGTGGTGAGGCGAAGACTGTAGGCCCCAAAGCCAGGCGTGACAGCGCAGGTCTGCAGCGAGCGGCAGCAGGAGGGAGGCGTATCCGGGGCTTGCTGACGACAGCCCAGCCAGCCAGTGAGCTCCGCTTCAGGGGGAGTCCCCGGCTCAAGCAAGGCAGGAGCACTGGAGGAAGACGCCTGGCAGCGGCCCCTGGTCCCCGCAAGTCCACGCAGAGGCTCACATACTTGCACAGCTGTGCAAGTCACCATTCTGTACACTTCCGCTGCATTTGATTAATAAACAAGACGCTTAAAAAGACAGCATAAGTGAGATTGCCATCGGAGGTCTGTGGCTGTGAGCTGTGCAGGCAGGACCCACAGCCATGTCCCCTGATGCGGTCCACAGCATGGACAGAGCGGTTCGCGTTTCCCCTTGAGGCTGCTGGCTGGGACCACGGTCCCACACTGGTGTGAGGAGTGAGGGAAAGAAGCGAAGATGAAGGAAGGGATGAAACCAAGTGATGTTCCCACGCACGTCAGGTGGAGGGTACACCTGGCTGGCCCTTCCTTGCCAGGGCGCTGTCTGCACGTCCCGCCTTCGGAGGCTCCTTCCAGCCGGTCTGCGGTGAGTCATGGCGTGCTTTATAGATCAGAGCAGAGTTTCCTTTGAGAAAGCCAACAGGGAACAATTCTGAAATCATTCTGCCACGGTTGGTTGGTGGCAACGCAAACGTCCCTGTCGCCACAGTGCTGAGGCCTGCTGGGGGTGGCAGAGGAGCCCTCTCAGCTGAGCTGTCTGGCTGCAAAGATGAGGGACCAGCGCTCCTTCTCCCAGCGCCCGCCCCCAGCCCCCTCCCTCCTCCGCTCCCCGCCTTCCTCCCGCAGTGGACAGGCACCGAAGCCCACTGTGTTGCTAAGGGCAGGTGTGGGCAGGAGCCACTGCTACAAAGTGAGTCCCCAGCTCCGTGAGCGCCCACACACACCTGTGCTCCCACGGAGCTGACGGAGGCGCCAGCGTGCCGTCTCCCAGCTGCTCATCTGGAGAGAAGGCAGAGAGAAAGTCGTTCGCCCTTCTTGTGCATGCCTTAATCCTTTAACCGTGCTTTTCTCTTGGCGTGCATTCCCTGTGTCCCTCCTCGCACACCACCTGTGCTGGT